TTTAGCTTAGCTTTAGCCTAGCCTAGCCTAGCTTAGCTTAGCTTAGCTCAGCTCAGCTTAGCTTAGCTTAGCTTTGCCTAGCCCAGCTTAGCTTAGCTTAACTTACTAGCTTAGCTTAGCTTAGCTTAGCTTAGCTTAGCTTAGCTTAGCTTAGCTTAGCTTAGCTTAGCTTAGCTTAGCTTAGCTTAGCTTAGCTTAGCTTAGCTTAGCTTAGCTTAGCTTAGCTTAGCTTAGCTTAGCTTAGCTTAGCTTAGCTTTGCCTAGCCTAGCCTAGCTTAGCTTAGCTTAGCTCAGCTCAGCTTAGCTTAGCTTAGCTTTGCCTAGCCCAGCTTAGCTTAGCTTAGCTTAGCTTAGCTTCGCTTCGCTTCGCTTAGCTTAGCTTAGCTTAGCTTCGCTTAGCTTAGCTTAGCTTAGCTTAGCTTAGCTTAGCTTAGCTTAGCTTACCCCATCTTAGCTTAGCTTAGCTTAGCTTAGCTGTTGCTTTCCTGAATGCTCCAACTCCTAGGTAGGGTCGCACTGGGATAATTCAAAAATGATTTTGGAGTTCCGCATTTTACCACAATGCAACCGATCCTGCCTCTCGCTCGCGCCTGTCCAAATCGATCGAACGCCCCTGCGCGCGTGCTGTCGCACGAATCCTTTGCAAAAATTGGAACGACGTGCGCACGCGCGCGTCGTCGCGCGCGCACGCCGGCATCCTTCAAAACCTTGGGTTTCGCAGAGAGTTCAAAATCGAGCGTTCCAGAAACATATCAGAAAATATGGCTGCGCAGCGCCATTTGCCCAAAAAACTGCGCTCGCGCTCTTGCGATTCTTAAGAAAAAGCATAGACTTTCAACCTGTCCGTTCAATTCGACCACTCGCGCCGCATGCCGAAAGCACTCGGAAGCACTTGCGCGCGTGCTGGGGGGGGCACGCTCCGTGTCAAACAATACCACGCAGGCCAACATCGCGAGTCGGCCAGGCGCGCATGTCGAATTCCTTCCAAAGGCTTCTTCACAGAGGAGAGGACGCCATCATCGTCGTCGGCGTTATCAGCATCGGCAACGTCACTGACCTTGTCGTCGTCATTGTCATCGTCGTCACCAACATCGCAACAATCATCCTCGTGTCTACCGTTGTCGACGTTGCCACGATACCGCGCCCGCCCAAGTCGCCGACTCGCACTGCATTGCCTGCTGGGAAGTGTCCACCAGTCAGCGCCACCGCGGCCGCGTTGGTCGCGCCAAACTAGCTGGCAGCTGCGCGCGCGAGCATGCGCACGCTAGGTGACATTTTGGTTCATCCACACCTGACCACTTGCGGCCGCAGTGCTTGCACCACGACCACCACGACTTGTTGGCCTTGCAGCCGCACCCTGCGCAACGCCAGTTGCCTGCACGCGAACCGCCATGCGACATCGCGCGCACCCACGACCGACGAACGAGGGGCCACGACCCCAGGCACCGCAAGCACACTTCGGCCACTCGAGCCGAGGTTGGGAAGTTGATGAGAAGGCCCCTTGAGCCAAATGGCTACGGATAACTATTAGTCTCATTAGTCCTCCTCTTCCTCTCCCTCCTAGTGTTCCTCCTCGTTGTCCTCCTCCTCCTCGCTCATCCTTTTCGCTCACCCTGCTGTTCGGTCCTTTTCCTCATCCTCCTCATTCTCTCCACATGTATCGTATATATCATTATCATTATGCTTGGTTGTTGTTCGAACTCGTCTCCTTGTGATTACTCTCCCTCGAATTCGTAGTACTACGATCATGTTTATTCATAAAATTCGTGTTCGTGTCTCCCTTGTTCGTATCAGTTGCGCTATGATGCTCATGTCCTTAAGCGTGATACGATTCGAATACATAATTCGTACTATGTTTCTTCGTCGCATTATTATTGATCTTCTTCTTCTTCTTCTGATCCTTCATCTTCTGTGTCGATTACTTATCATTATCATTATCCTCCTCCTCCTACTCATCCTCATCATCGCGTTCACTGTCGATTTCCTCCTCCTTGTCCTTTTTCCCCTCGTCCTCCTCGTTCCCGCTCATCCTCTTCGATCGTCCAGCTCTTCGCTCCCCCTCCTCGTCATCATCATCCTCTTTTCTCACGTAAGTTTCACCGTACCGGTATTATTATTATCACTAGTGTAACTCGTACGATTGAAATTATTACTTTCATTGTTCTTAGTAGGCGTGTTATTCTTAATGATACGGTTGTTATATTTTACGTACTAGTATTAGTGTGGATCTTTTCTTCCTGCTATTACAATGTAGTGCTGTTATGTGTAGTATGTGTCTCCTTCTTCTTCATCCTCCTCTTCTCCATCCTCCTCCTTATCCTCCTCCTCCCCTTCCTCCTCCTCCTTCTCCTCCTCAGTCCTCAATCCTCCTCCCCTCCCTTGTGGGCAGGCGATGGGCCAGCACCTCGACGACCTCGGCCTCGAACCCTGCGTATGCCCCCCTTTGCCTCGCCAGAGCGCTGCCTCGAGCTTGCCAATGTTCGGCCCGTGGCTCGGGCCTCGGTCGGCCGCTCGAGGCGACCAGGGCGCCCCCCGAAGCGCTCTCGACGAGGCGCAACTGATGGAAACCACCTCCTCCTCCTCCTCCTCCTCCTCCTCCTCCTCCTCCCTGGGCCCCAAGAACCGTTTTTGTCGTCGAACCCAGGGAACGGGACGCAACATGCGCCGTACATCTAGGGAGCGTGTCTCGCCTTTCGCGCACCAGACGATCAGAGCCCAATCCTGGGGCACATCAATTCTGCAGCCGCTCCCCTGCTCGAAGGGCTGAGCGAGCGAGCGAGCAAAAGCCAAAGTGAGCATCGTTAACCCGACCCCCCTCCCCAGCGGCGTGGCCTGGGCCCCACTGGCCGATGGGGCCCCCTAGATAGGGGACGTAGGCCTTTCCCTTCGGGTTTTGAGGGGTGTATCCCCAACTGGGGTGGTAAGATGGTGGAGGTCTCGAAGGGGATGAGAATGGGGATGGGGGTCGGTTAAACGATACTGGGGACCTGCGAGAACCTCCGGGAAGCACTGCACGCCCCCTCCGCCAGAACCCTTTGTTCAGCACGTGCTCCGCGAGCATGAGGTAGAGCAGTGGCTCCGCGCCCCCCTCCTGCCCCTCTCCTCCCCCCTCCATTTGCGGGTGCGCAGAAGGGGCGAGCCTCGCCCTCATCACCACTTCCCGCCTCTGCTCTCCAGTCGGAGTCCCCAAAGGCCGCGCCAGGGGAGAGGGTCGTCACCCACCACTGATCGCACAAAGAACACCTCCCGCCACATGGGGAGGGCGCGGCGGACGCTGGTACCCGCGCGCCCGCACGGACTTCGCCCGGCCCGAGTTGTTGCGATCTCCTCCCCCTCTTCCCCCCCTTGCCCCCCCCCTCTGGAGGAGGAGGAGGAGGAGGAGGAGGAGGAGGAGGAGGAGGAGGAGGAGGAGGAGGAGGAGAGCAGGAGGAACAGGAGGGGAAGAGGAGGGCAGTGGCAGGAGGGGGGGGACGGAGGAAGAGGAGGGTAGGAGGAGGAGGAAGACAAGGAGGAGGAGGAGGAGGAGGCCGGAGGATGAGGAGGAGGAGGAGGAGCAGGAGGAGGAGGAGGACGAGGACGAGGACGAGGAGGAGGAGGAGGTGGAGGAGGAGGAGGAGGAGGAGGAGAGGAGCCCGAGGAGGAGGAGAGAGGAGGGGGAAAGGAGGGGTAGTGGCAGGAGGAGGGGAAGAGGAAGGGAGGGGAGAGGAGAGGAGGAAGACAAGGGGGAGGAGGAAGGAGGAGGAGGAGGAGGAGAGGAGGAGGAGGAGGAGAGGGAGGTGGAAGGCGGAGGCGGAGGAGGAGGAGGAGGGCCTAGGGAGGAGGAGAAGGAGGAAGAAGGGGAGGAGGAGGAAGAGGAGGATGAGGAGGAGGAGGAGGAGGAGGAGGTAGGAGGGGAGGACTGAGGACTGACGAGGAGGAGGAGGAGCAGGAGCAGGAGGAGGAGGGGAGGATGGGGGGGAGGAGGAGGAGGAGGAGGAGGAGGAGAGGAGGAGGCGGAGGAGGAGGAAGGAGCAGGAGGGAGGAAGGAGCAGGAGGAGGAGGAGAAGGAGGAGGAAGGAGAGGAGGACGACGACGACGAGGGACGAGGAGAGCGGGGGAGGAAGGAGGAGAGGAGGAGGAGGGAGGATGAGGGAGGGGAGGAGGAAGGAGGAGGAGGGAGAGGAGGGAAGAGAGTGGAGGAGAAGGAGGAGGAGGAGGGGGAGGAGGAGGAGGAGGAGGCGGAGGAGGATGGAGGAGGGCAGGAGGGGAGGAGAAGGAGGAGGAGGAGAGGAGGAGGCGAGGGGGAGGAGGAGGAGGAGGAGGAGGAGGGGAGGAGGTGGAGAGGAGGAGGAGGAGGAGGAGGAGGAGGAGGAGGAGGGGGAGGAGAAGGAGGAGGAGGAGGAGGGGGACGAGGGGGGGAGGGGGGGAGGAGAAGGATGAGGAGGAGGTGGAGGGAGGAGGAGGTGGTGGAGCAGGAGGAGGAGGAGCAGGAGGAGGAGGAAGCTAGCTCGCAATCTGCGCATGGCCAGGTTTCACAGGCCGTGAATCGAAGTTGGCCGCAGGGCGTTCGGGAAGCACTATGCCCCCGCCGATGTCAAAACGCAAGGGGGGCCCCTCCCCCAGCAATCAGCTTGGGGACTCCCTGATTGCAGCACAGGGTCGAGAGGCCTGCACGTGCATACACAGACAACATCTCGGAGACGCAGAGCGGACAAGAGGGACAGCGGCGGCAGCCAGGGGCTGCAGCAGCAGAGGACAAGAGGGGGAGAGATAGGCCAGACAGGCCCCCATGCCTAGGCTGGGGCTCCAGTGGGGCAGTAGAAGAGGAACTAACCTCGCTCGAATCCCCAGCAATTCAACCTAAAACTGCATTCGAACGAACTACTTACCCCTAGCATTTCCAAATCCTTTCCCACGGCCTCTATGTCTGCCTCGGCCTTTGGGGCGCATCAGCGGGTCCCACTCACCTTGAAACCGCACCAACCCGCGCTCAGAGATCGAACCTAGGGCCCGCCGAGATTCTACTTGGACTTCCTGTGGCGGGCTCCGCGAAGCATTTTCTCCAGCGAATTCTGAACTCGGCGCTCCTGGGTGGTTTTCGGTGGGGGGCCCAGCTTCGGCGTGCTCCCGAGGGCCATGAACAGGGCCGTGAGAACCGAATTCAGAGGAACCATCAGGCCTCCAGGTCCCTGAACCCACGAGTTGACGAATAAGGTATGGCGGACGAGAGGCGGAGCTACTTCCTTCACGAAGGCGGTCTTCGCCTTCCAGTAGCGTAGCGTCTCGCATGCCACGGCCATCGGCTGCACCTTTACGTGCTGGATGAGTTTCGTCACGGACTGCACGTGCTCCTGCAGGTTCGGGTTCTGATTCAGCACCTCCCGGTTGATCAGCAACTCGAGAACCGCCAAACTCACCTGCAAGCTGGGAGGGCCCAGTCCGTGGTCCGCGGGCTTGTCCTTCACCGTATCTGAGTACTTCTGAGCGGCCCCGATGGCGGCGAGGTTAATGTTGTGTTCTTTCGGCAGTAAGTGCGTGCTGAAGAGGCATCCTTCGACTGCTCGTTGACGCTGTGCGTTGTTGAGAACTCCTTTCATCATCTCGGTCGCAGTCTCGCCGTCCGTGTCGCTGTCCTCCGCCATGGCCGCGTCGGCTGCCCCCCCCTGGGGGAGTGCCGGCGGCGGCTCTTGGGGTCGCGCGGCTCGTGCTGCTTGCCGCTGCCTCCAGCGCTGAACGAGTTCGTCTGAAAATCGGTTAGGCACTTCTTCGCCTGGTCCAGCTCCGTCTGGCCGGCTGGCATCGCCCACGCTATGAGATGCGGCGAAAGAGAAGGTGGCGTCGGACAAATCTATATGTGTGCGTACATGTCTCTGCAGAGCCTCGAGAGACGGATGATCCCTGCTGCAGGCTGGGCACTCAAACGTGGGTGGTACAATCGGCTCGTGATGAATCGGGGATCGATCGCATTGACAGCTGCGCTTGAGAAATAGGCGTCGAACGTGCTGACAAGAGATCGCGGCAGTCGAGCGCGCGCTCATGCACCAAGGGCACTGATTCGTGACCGTGAGGAGCTGGGAGAGGGCCCTATGACCGTGACGACCCTCCGCGCGGAAACGCATGTGTGCGCGCCAGCCCTGTTGATTATGAAACTCCAACCCGCACTCTGAACCATCTGCTTTCGCCCCATTGCAACGCCAAGATCGAGGAGGGGGTACTTGGTCGAGATCGTGCTGTTCGCCTCCTCCTCCTACAGCAGCAGCTCCTCCACCGCCCTCCACCCGTCTCTTACCCGCCTCATCGATATCCCCATCCCAGAACACGTTGCGGAGCTTGCCAAAGTTTAATGTGTGAAGCCTCGTGCTGAACTCGTCGGTGAAAGCTCTCAGATGGATGTGCCCCACGGCGGTGAGCAACTCGGGGCCCTTTTCAAAGCGCACCAGGAGTGCGATGTAATTGAGGGCTTGAAGGGCCCAGGGGTCCCCACGGACCTGTCCGGCGTCGTCCCGAGCGAGAAGACCATCTTCACAGGTAGTGTATTCTTCGCCACGCATCTGCCCGCAGATCGCTGCCAGCAGCTGTTTGTTCTCAGAGCGGTGGGCAGCAATCTCTTGCAGCCAGCGTCGCCGTCGGATGCGAAGTTCTAGCTGCGAGGGGACTGAGCCAAGCTTGGTCCAGATGCGCACAGCCGACAGCGAAATATGCTTGATGGCGCCGTCGGCTTGCGCGATCTTCGAAACTGCAGCGCCCTTCAGCAGCGCGCGGCCCCACTGTAGCAATAGGCCGTCTATAAGCTTATAGTCGCCCGCCGAAGGAGTGTAGGCCTCGAGGCCGCTGAGTCCTGCTGCATGCACACGCGCCTGAAATACAAGAAGCTGTATACGTAGTGGAACATGATTAACTTACCAGAACCGTTTCATGGCATACCATGCGCTCCTTATACTATTTCGCATAGCGCGCCGTTGCTGCGCTGTGGTACCCGCGCCATGATATTGTGCACCTAGATACTTTGCATGCGTGCTGATACGACCTGGTAGACAACGGACATGATCAGTCAACGAGCGAGACCCACCAAAAGCGCCAGGCCCAACAGAAACGAGGCACTGCAACCTGCCTGTCTACATTCAAAGCGCCACCAGCCAATGCAAGGTGACGGGATAGACTTGCAGTAGCTGAGCAGACTTGATCAGCCATGCGTTGCGCGGTGGGTGCGACGACCTTATGGGCAGTGTCATCGAGATAAACCGTGGTCGATAAACCAATAGTTTGTTCAACAATATCATTCATCGGGCTAGTGCACATAAGGTCTCGCCCGCCGTAGGTAGCTGGACTTTCCAAAAGCCACGGAGCAAGCGCACTGCGATCGAAGCTTCGAATGTACTTGACTGGTGCAGATTGGCGTCCCTGGAGAACCCCCTCATGAACCTGAGAGTGGCCCGCCCCGTCTGAACAGTCCAATGTAATAACACTCTGACGGTTGCTATGATGACCGAAATAGATACCATCTGGATGCATGTGTAGATAACCAGTATCGTCGAGGATGTCGGCAGCGATGCTTCCGAAGGCGTTGGCCTGGTCAAAAAGAGCGTGCAGTGAGACTTATGCAAACGTGAAAGGCGCCAGCCTGCAATGATTTGTATCTTAACAGCTGCTTCGCGGCGTCTGTGGCGGATCCCTCCATGCAGGTGATCAGCAAAGCCTCGGTCAGGATAACAAGTGTCGCCTCGCTGACCGAGGTATCTACTATATTCCTTGCTGAAGGGGCACATACGATGCACGAGACGAACAGAGCTTCGCCCAGGAGACGCAGCCGCAGGTTTTGGTATACTGCAACCCCAGGGCCGATGCCAATTCTGCGGTAGACGGGCCCTGCCTCGAACATCCCAAGGAAACCCACGGGCACGACGCGATAACCATTCTATGTTCGGGTTTTTTTTTTGCGAGCGCATCTGGTTGATCTTTATATTTAGGGCGCCGATGTGTGGGGGGCAACATCATCTGAAAGATCTCCATGGGTAGGCTCCACGGGGGGGGGGGGGGGGGGGGGGCACTTTTTCCGATAAGCCATATTCCGAAGCGGAAGACAGATACCCCTGACGTCCCTCTCCGCCTCCTCCATGAACCCTGGCGCATAGAACCTGTAACCCATCCCATCCTCCACTCGGTCAGCGGGCAGATTGGCGGGGTCAACTTGCGTGGCGGATTGGCCCCCGAGAGGCCCACGC